CACCTCCTGACAGCTAGCTCTGTGACCCTCCCTGTCAAGGGCCCATCGAGACTGTCGCTAAGGATGTTGTAGATGCTGTAGCGAGAAGTATAAACGTCCCTGTTCATGACACCCCCCCCCTTCCCTCCCTCCATCCAACTAGCTCTGTGACTCTACCTGCCAAGGGCCCGTCGAGACTGTCGCTAAGGGGGATGTAGATGTTGAAGCGAGAGGGTTAACCTTCCCTGTTCCTCCCCACCCCTCCATCCAACTAGCTCTGTGACCCTCCCTATTCCTGGACTCCCACCCCCTTCTTCCCGCCTCCAGCCTGCTTGCTCTTGTTTGTTTTAGTAGAGGTTTTACTGTAACCCTCCCTGTCAGTCAAGGGCCCCGAGACCGCGAGTCTCTAAGGATGTTGTAGACGTTGTAGCGAGAGAGTTAACCTTCCCTGTTCCTTCCCCCCCCCCTCCTCCCTCCAGCTAGCTCTGTGACCCTGTCTCTGTCAAGGGTCCGTCGAGACTGTGAGTCGCTAGGGATGTTGTAGATGTCATAGATACTGTAGCGAGAGGGTTAACCGTTGCTGTTCCTTCCCCCTCCCCTCCAGCCAGCTCTCCCTAAGACTAGCGCTAAGGACCTTGTAGACGTGGTAGCGAGAGGGTTAACCGTTGCTCGTCTCTGGCAATTGTTTCTCTCCGTCGCCGCCGGCCTGGGCGTAAACATTGAATGTGACAGACGCGTTTGAGTTGTGGAATTCCTCGGTGGATTGTGGTAGTCGTCAGTGAGTACTGCGAGTGAGTGAGTGAGTCGTATTCTCTCGTCGTCGTCGGAGATTGTCGTCGTGTGAGTTCTTTTGGAAGGAGAACCCAAAAAAAAAACACCAAGTAGAACGTGAGACGGGGATTGAGTGAGAGAGGCAGAGAGAAAAAGAGACAAGATAGAGAGAGAGGGAAAAGGAATAAAGGCGATCGAGGAGTCGTAATGGGATGAACAGACAGAACTCGTCGTGGTGAAGGAGGAGTTCTAAGTTCTCCGAAGCGTCCCGGGCTGCTGATGGCCTCGTGAGGAGGCAGACAGGCAGGACATGGTGACCCCATGCGCCTCCTCCGAAAGTGTGTGACCTTTGAACTCTCACCCCGCATCAGCACACGCACGCCAAGGATGTGTTCTTCCTGTTGTAGTTATTGTTATTCTCATTATTCATATTGTAGTTGTGGTTGCTGCTCCGATTCTTCTTCTACTTCCTCTTCTTGCTGCTGTTGCTGTTGTTGTTCCGACATGGATTACCCGCCGTGGCTGCTGGTGCTTCACGACCAGGAAGTGATGATGTCGTCGCGCATGCGCAGAGAGCTGGGCAGCTAGAGCTAGCTGAGCGCGGGACAACAACGACGAAGACGTCGTCATTGCAGAAGTTGTTCCCCGCGAGACGATGAAAATGGTGGTGGCGGCGAAACGGCCCAGCTCTCTCTCCTTGGCCTTCTCCATCAAAGTAAGGCTCTCCTCGGGTTTTGATATT